AAAAACGTGCTCAAAATTCCCTCCGGGTTACGCTCATGTTTTTGACAGTAACCTGCTCAGTTTCAAAACAAGCCACCTCCTGAGGTGGCTTTCATTTGAAATGGGCTTGCCCTTTTTATATCAAAAACTCCCCCCTCCCACCGACCATGACGTCGTCGTCTCGTTTGAAAATGCAAAATAATTCTATGAAGTGCGAATTCGACCCTCTTTGTTCGACCCCCCTTTTACAGTTTCTGCTCAGTTTTTGTGCACTCCTCTGCTTACAAATTGGACACGTCTCTGCTTCCTTTTTTGGATTATATTTGAAAGTTCGACCCCCACCCCCCTCGTTATAGTATCAAGCTCAGAAGCCAATGTATCGACAGCCTCACCCTCTAGTAATGTTTCACGACAAACTGATGTTATGCTGGAGGAGATGCGCGGATCTACTGGAGCAGATCCAGATCCATGGCCGCGGAGCTTGGCGCATAAGTGCACTAGCTTCGCTCTGCCCCAGGCAACCCATTACAGCTGCTCCAACGTCTTGCTGCTCGGAAAGTAGGATCCTTGTTAGTGGTGGTGACTGACTGGGGTTGCTCTTGAACATGTCGGTCAGGAGTAGTAAATATACGCTGGAGGCGTACGACTTGGACTTCCAGTTGTTGCAGGTGTCGGATTCGCTGGAGTCGTGCGGGCTAGAGCCGCACGAGCTGGAGTAGAGCGGGCCGAATTCTGCGGCGTGGTGATGCAAGGTCGCGCATGTGGGTCTATCGTCCGAAGTATTTTCTTGAAGTTTGTCGGCATTATTTTCTCTCAGCAAGGCTTTCCGCGGACAAATTGACGCATGATATGGTGCTTCGCAGTCTTCCAATGCTCATGTGGTTTCGTTTCGGAGTGCGTATGAGTGCAAGTTCGCTAAAGAGGCGTTTACGCATTGCCGTGTTCACAGCAATTGACAAGAGCGTAAGTGCCAGCACTGGCAGCTTGCTGTTTTTCTTTGATTTCCTTTCGTACTCCCATAACGTGGTTACTGTGTCTTTGCCGAAGTCAACATGGCAAGATGCGGTATACGTGCCTTCCATCCAGCTGTACATCTCACGGCGCAGCCCGCTGTCATCAGTATCAACAAATCGGCGGTAGTAATACTATGCGAATTGACACACGTCATCAAGATCTGTGAGTACGGTCGGAGGCAATTTCTTGTGTTATATATTCAGGACGAAGAAAAATTCCTAAGATAAATAAAGGCTGATCGCAAGCATTCCAACGGGATTCAGCAAGGCCAATTAGTGAGTCGCTGAACTCGGTAGAGGCAAAGCTACGATAAATTTCCATGTAGGAAATAACACAGTATTTTAATTTCTCTGCAAACGATATGAAGCGCTGCGTAAATGCTGCACAATCATCTCGGCCATCTCCAGCTTAGTCCAGAACTCGTTATCTCCGAGAACA